AGAATATGCTAAGATCGAGGAAAATCAACAGCCAGACAAAGGAACAGGACTTGAGGCTATGGAGGTCAAAACAGTAGAGGTATTGAAGTATGGGAAAGAAGTTGAGGAGGATGAGCAAGTGCCAACTGATAAAGCAACACATGAACTTGATGAGGGGAAGAGGTGTATGGAGAACTCAGAAAGCATAATTAATGAACAAAGGAAGGAAAGGAAAATTTTGTCACAATCAGATGCAGCAACTCTTATTCAATCTGCTTATAGAGGATTCGAGATGAGAAGATGGCAACCTCTTGAGAAGCTAAGGAAAATTCATCAAATTCGTCAACAGACCGAGGCTGTGAAGAAGCAAATTCAGATGTTTGAAGCCTCCTCCAAGGAGCAGGATTTGAAACACAAGGTTGCAATAAGTGAGGCCATAATGAATCTTCTGTTGCAGCTGGATACCATTCAGGTATGTGTTCACTTATCTATATAAAAAAATGCCTTTATTTGCAATGACTTGATATTTTTCAGAATCTCTTTTGTTGCTTCCGAAATTGATTTGTCCATTGATCTGCATGTTTTTATTTCCTTTTGAAGGATTCACATGATGTGGATTATTATTCGAGTGACTTGAAACTGTGAACATGTTTTCTTTTCCATATTTGATCTTCAAATTAGTTAGTGCTGACTTTTTGTATTTAATTTTGGTTGATCTGTCATGAACCTTACAGGGGTTGCATCCGAGCGTGAGAGACATGAGGAAGCATGTCGCCAGGGAGCTAATCAGTCTGCAAGATAAGCTTGATTCTCTAGGGGATCATGAAAAAATGGAAGTTGAAAAACAACTTGATTCTGATTGTGGAGCTATCTCTTCTACAAACTCTTTTGTAACAACCAATTTGGAGCCTGAACATATGTCATCACAGTCAGAGAAAACATTTGTGGATGAGAAAGAAGAAGCAGCAATTAAATGGCAGACAGATGATGCGGTAATAACTGAATCTCCAGATTCTGTAGCTGGAACCGGTGACTTAAAATCATTGAATGTGGATATGGGTTCTACTACTGAAGAACATCAAGATATAGCTCCTCTGGAAGAACAACTTAGTTCTGCCCTGAGGGAGGCAGTGGAATCGCATGTTACAGAGGAAGAACAATCCTGTGTATCGGAAGGCGTTACTGAGAAAAAACAATCCTCTGGATTGGAAGGTGGAACAGAGACTTTAGCATCTATTCCCCAAGTTGAGGCACCTTCTGCCTCTGTAGATGAGGTGTGGAAGCTCGAGACAGACGAGCATGTTGAATGTCAAGGAATTAACTCCCTTGTTGAGCATGTGAGAGATGAGCTACCCGATGCTGAAGCTGGAAATGACGAGACGGGTGATGTAAAATTGGAGAAACCATCTGTGCCATCGGTGAAGGGAGAAGATATCGAACTGGCAGCTGAAGAATCAAACCATTCTTTAAAGGCAATTAACCCTGAACAGGTGCAGCTTGTAGAAGCCACTGCTGGGGTCAAGGAAGGTGATTTTGATGTCAAGGGAACTATTTTGCCAGGTGATGAAGTTGATACCATGAGAGAGGATCTCCAAGTGCCCGACCAAAAAAGTTGTGACCTTGTTGAGAAGATGGTTGGAAACACGGATGTTGTTCATGTAGTCACAGAAGTTCCATGCTCTGAACAACCCTTCCTTGGCACTTGTGCCATCGACAATGGAAATGCCGGATGCACGGTGGGGAACATAGAAAAAAGGGCAGAAGATGCAGATAGCATAGTGACCCACCTTCCAGATGCAACTTACAACCAGTGTCATTCACCAGGAGATTTTGAGGTTGGCAAGGAAAATGGTGTGAATCCAATGCTGTTGCCTGATGGCACAAATATCATCAAAGATGAATGCTTCTCTTCAGTTGAAACATCCGAACCAAAGATCGACAAAGTCCATTCATTGGTAGAAGCTCTTGAGCCCGTCAGTATGAGTCCACGGCAACTGCCCGATGCTGTGAATATCAACAAAGATGAACGTGTCTCTGCAGATGAACCATTTGAAGCAAATGCCAATGATGCAGCCGATGGAAATCTAAGCAAGGAGGAGAAAAAACTAGTGGAAGAGAATGAGAAGCTAAGAGAAATGCTAGAGACACTGCTGAAGGCAGGGCAAGCACAGCTGGGAGTCATTGCAGATCTTAATGGCAGAGTTAAGGACTTGGAGAGAAAACTGTCACAAAAGAGAAGGTGCAAGGTGAAGAGCTCCAAACCAAGAAGGCCCTCTCCCCGTAAGGTTGCATCGTGAGACGTGCTACCGTGGAGGTGAGATTCTAAATTCATCCTCACACTCTCTTTTGTGTGTGTATGATAAGAAAGTAAAAACAATGTTTGTGTAAAACACATTGGGCTCTATTATGCTTTTTTATGTATCAATGTTAATAACAAATAAATAGAGAATCCGTATGAAGTGTTGTGCTCTACATATCACATACTCTTTTCCTCTCTGTTTCTCTGTTGATGTCCATGAATTCTCTTCTGGATTCTTTTGTTATGATCTTTCTCACTTATATTCTCATTAAATTTAGGTGCTCTAGTCGTAAGATTACCTGATTCTGAGTTCTCAGTGGGCATTCACCATAGATCCTAAGAGAACACGAAGATCCAAAAGCTTAGAATGGCCTCTTCCCATCTTTGTAGAAGCCATGAACTGCTCGGCCACCCGAGTAGCTTAATTATTCATATGCTTATCATTGTTTGTGTCGAGACGGAAGGAGATGATATTTGCTTCACATCATTGCATGATTTGCGGTGGATAATATTCTGAGCGGCGTTCAAATCCACAAGAGCATGACACGCTTGCCATAAAAGAGATGACTCCCACTGAGCAACTATGCAACCAAGTGGGAGAAGAGCTCGAGACGGGAGATGCCATCGGCTATGCCGATTGCTCCCTCCACGCACAATGCCCTGTCTCGCTCGCCGAATCGCAATCCATGGAACACCACACGGAAAACCCTGCTCTTCCTTTCCCCTTTCGGAGTGGAACCGATGCTTAGTCCAACACGCAATTCGACGTCGTTTCCTTTCTCTGAAGGAGTAACCAAGGTTTCTTTAAGTCGTCCTTCCACGGAAAGTGGCATGGGGAAGCAAACTCAAAGAGTACATCCCATGCCGCCATTCATTTTCCTCGATCTGAATCCCCTCGAAGTCTTCCATCATCGACGCTTTGTGTGCCCACCAACGCCAAGTTCGAAATCCCATTAGAAGAATCGGATGGCCATCTTCCGAAGCAGGTGATGGATGTGTTGGCTTCAATTGGTTGACAACTCAAGCTTTTTGGTGTTGCAGTGGAAGCAGATATGGAAATGCAACATCGAGTTCTTCTGGACCTCAGTTTGTTCTTGCTTTTTGGTCGCCACATCGTCACAGGCGCTTTCAGAAACAAATCCATATCTGCGATTGTGATTGTGATTGTGATCGTGATCGAGACTGATGAGGACTGAGGTCTCCCACTCGAGTCATGGGGTTTGACATTACTCACCTTGTCAACCTTGCTATGATTCTCCTTCGTTCCCCCCTACAATTAGACCTTCATTCTGATGTACACTTTGTCCATGTTGGGGGGGAGCTTGCCATTCTTTTCTGGTTGCAACCACCCACTCTACTTGGGATGAGAGACAAGCTGCTTATGTTCATGTGCAGTGTGTGCCACTATAAATAGCTTTCTTTATGGCTTTTCAAGTGCTTGGACAAACACATTTTGCTGCGACTGCTGGAAGTCATTGCTGCAATGATATTGCAGTCTGATGTGCACTTGGATGTTGCAGTCTATCTCATACCTATGACTTTGTTAACTGTGAGACATGAAGAATGAGTCGAGAGGCAACAGGTGCAATCTTAGTGGTGTTTCCACTACTCACAAGTTCTCTGTCGTACGGTGTCCATGTCTTTTTGGAGGTCAGAGCCACTTAAAAGGCATGTTTAATCCACCACCAAATCAAATCAGTGGTAGCAGAGTTGTCATCTCTGTTGTACACTCCAATTGCCAAGCATCATGTGATTCCAATGGCAGTAGTGATGCAAACGCACAACAACAATTGCATATCGATGAACATGACAACTTCAATTTGCCTATGAAACCATGGAGGTTTAAACAAACATTCAGCAAAACTCTGTTAGCCAGCCAAGTGGATTTCTTTTCTACTGATACATGGAGTGTGCTAAAAATGACACACAAGGGTGGGGTTATCCTGACTCTGATATCCATGTTAAACCATCATCTGCTCTTGATGAGTGATTTATTTGGATGGTTGAGCAATGGTTTTATGTCAACATGTGACAGATCTAATCATACTGATACATCCAAATCCACTGCTTTCTTTCTTTCTTTCTTTCTACTCGAGTCACCTTAGCTTTCGACTGCCTACAGTTGTTTGGATCACCAACTGCAGCTCCTACTCGATCAATAATTGCTGATTTAGGTAGCATTGTACTGAGATTAATAATTAAAAGGAGTCATCCAAACTCATCATATTATGTTTCTGGGAGTACAGTGTGAAGAGCCGTATATTATCATCATATAAGCAGTGGAATCATTGACATCTCACATATGTGCATTTCATAATATGCATATGAAGAAGGAAAAAAATTTATAATTATTATTAGTCACTGAGGAAAGAGGAGGATAACTCATGCCAAAACATGAAGAAAAGAGCATGATCATATGCCTTCATGGACCATGCCACAAAAGACAACCAGCTAATGAGAACAAACACAGCAATGTTGTGGCATGAGGTAAAATAAAGGGTGGCCATGGTGCCTCAACCATGGAAAGAAAAAGAAGGCAAAAGAGCACCCAATCCAACATTGGGACCGGACATCCTTCTCCCCTCTATATACGTAGGTGATGGTGGCATAAAAAAGAGGCTCATGTCTCATCACTCTTTGTGCTTATAGGGAAAAAAAAAAGGGGAAATCCTGTGGTCTTTCATGTTCTGTACATCATTTCTACCAAAAAGATGATAAAAACAAGCAGTGGGAGGTTGCAAGGAGGAATTCTTAGCACATGAGATGTGAAGGAACCATCATTTCCTTGAATGCGTCCAAACAAGCTTATGCTTCAATCCAAAATAGGTGTGGGTGTGTGTATATATATATATAGTTGTGTGTTTGGTGACAGCCACAGGACATTGATACAGACACCCCTACACGCCTCTTCCTCCCACCATCCTGCCCACCACAGCCGGCCACCTCGCTGTTACATCTGCAGCCACTTCCTGTTTCATCTGTTCCTTGTATGTTTGTCTCCTTCCATCCGTCCTAATCTCTTGTGAAGCGTGGTGCTCATTGGTGTTCTGTCCTTGCCCAGGTTTGGCAGAGCAGATTGTGAAGTACTCTTTATCTTGATTCTAGGGGGGGTTGGGGAGAGAGCAGAAAAGAATGAAAGATTAAGAGACGGCTGGATTTTTAAGTGCTTTTCTTGCTCCGTTTCTAATCATCAAGACGAACAGCAAGAAAAGGTCACATTTTTCTCGGTTTTTTCGATTGCCTTTGAGATGTTTTCGTTTGATTTTTGGACATCCGGGGAGGTGTTACCGGTGTTCGACGATTTGATAATGTGAATGCCTTTGGCTCGTTGCGGCTGCAGTTTGTCTTGTTCGAATAATTGCCGCAGTCCTCTGAGACGAGCAGAGTTTGGTGGTTTTCGCTTACACGCCACCTTTCGCTTGTCATGCTATCGGCAAATCTTTTTCCGGCGTTCGGCTTCCTCCTGATTGCGTTTTATGGTTTTGGTGTCGATACCATGTGCTTGTGATCTCAACCTCGGTTCTTCTGCTCTCTTATTCTCTTCACCGGTTTCCTCGGTTCATTCGTGCAGGTCCATCCTCTTGATCTTGTTGTGTGTGCCGTCTCATCTTCCTCATGGCGGGTGAGACATCATGGGAGGAGTCTTACCCTGTCGCCTACTTCCAGAGTGAGGTTGCGGGCCTTAAGCCGACCTCCGAAGACAGCGATGACCAAGATGAAGATGCGTTGATCTCATTGGACGCCGTTCTGCCCGATGACCTCTTGGAGAAGGTCTTGTCCTTCTTGCCCATCGCGAGCATCGTCAGAGCGAGCTCAGTCTGCAGGCGGTGGTACGAAGCTGTGCATTCCGGGAGGTGCTCGTGGACCAAGATGTCGCCCCAGAAGCCATGGTACTTCATGTTCACCTGCAGCGACGACGCCGTCGCCGGCTACGCCTACGACCCGAGCCTCCGGAAATGGTACGGCTTCGACTTCCCCTGCATCGAGAGGAGCAACTGGTCGACCTCCTCCTCCTGCGGGTTGGTCTGCTTGATGGACGGCGAGAACAGGAGCCGCGTCTTCGTCTGCAACCCGATCACGCGGGACTGGAAGAGGCTGCACGACGCCCCCGGGGGGAAGGCCCCCGATTACAGCGCGCTCGCCATGTCGGTCGACCGGAGAACCCACGGCTACACGGTCGCCGTCGCCAAGTGCAAGCAGGTGCCTCAGGACTATTACCAGTGGCAATTCTCCATCCACGTCTACGAGTCGAAGACCAGAGCGTGGCTCACCCCCTTCGCCGAAGTCTTGGTGGGCTGGCGGGGCGGAGACGAGTGCGTGATCTGCAATGGCGTCCTGTATTACTTGATCTACTCCACCGGCGTGCTCAGGAACGTCGAGCCGCGCCATTGCCTGGTGATGTACGACCTCTCGGCGCGGCCTGCCCGCACGTCCCTAATGCGGACGGCGATCCCTGTGCCATGCTCTCTGACCTGCGGCAGGCTGATGAACCTCAGAGACAGGCTAATCATGGTCGGCGGTATCGGGAAGCCGGACCGACCGGGCATCATCAAGGGCATCGGCATCTGGGAGCTTCAGAGGAGGAGGGAATGGCGGGAGGTGGCTCGAATGCCGCACAAGTTCTTCCAGGGGTTCGGCGAATTCGACGACGTCTTCGCGAGCAGCGGCGCCGACGAACTCATCTACATACAGAGCTTTGGATCCCCTGCTCTGCTGACCTTCGACACGACCCAGAAGCTGTGGAGGTGGTCGACAAAAAGCCCCGTGACGAAGAGGTTTCCCCTGCAGCTCTTCACTGGCTTCAGCTTCGAGCCGAGGCTCGAGGTCGCTTCCTGATTTCTGCTGCTCATTGCTTTCTTTGCCTTTCCGTTTACAACTCGAAGCAATCATGCCATAGTTTTGTTTCACGTGTCTAGGATAATTACATGGAATGTTTGTATGATGGACAAGAACATTCTTGCAATGATCATGGAGATTCTACAGAGTGTTAACCTTGTTTTGTTCAGCTTGTACAGTATAGTTTATTTTGGACTTTAATGATCTATCCATGGAACAGAGTGATCCAACAAAGATTTGCTTGTCTTCTGTCTTCTATCTCATGGCTTGGCTTCTCGGTATTGAGCCCAAGCTTTCAGTTTAGCTCTATTTTCTGGCTTTGTAGTACTTCACTGACTTTGCTATTGCAAATCTTGTGTAAAACTTGAAAATGCTATTGATTTCTGCTGGAGATGACAACATTCGAGATCGTTTGGGGAAGAGCATCAGGCTACGCATACCGAGGATATGATCTGGTACATCATGTGCTGGAAGTGCAGCTTAAGCTCATTTAAAGGAGATGTTTTGTCTTCATGAAGAACAGCTTGTTCAACATGGAATGTTTCCTGGAATACTGAAGACCAACCAGACAAGTGAAGAGCTCCCTGTGGATCAAAGTAAATCCAAATATAATGAATGTGGTGGTCTGTCAGCCCTACCAAAAAAAAAAATTTTCTAACCAATCACATGAAAAACATGACCAAATTGGAAAGTAGAGATTTCAAGATTAAGTCTGCAATCTGCTTGTTTTCTCTTCTCTTTTCTTTGGTTCATATCACTTGATTTGAATTTGAAAACCTTGAATTGCTGCTGTTTCTTGTGTAATCATCAGCATTTCCCTCAGCTTATCTAATCCATGATTTAATGGTGCCTACTAGTAATTCAAGCTGACACAAGCATGCAGGACAACAATTTGCTCGATCATGTAGGAAGATAGGATAAGAACTCGTTGGTTTGTTTCTTCTTCTACATGCATCATCATGGAGAACCAAGTAAATGCTCTTGATTAATGCTGAACTGCCTTGGTGGAATTGCAATCCTTGTCTGTGCTTGAAATATTTCGGATGTCGATTAATATGTTGAATGATGCAAATAGCAGGAGTTTTCCACTTCAGAAACCAGATTCTTTTCTTGCCCAACCCAAAAGCTTTGATGTTGTGAGCAGGAACAGACAAGCTGCAGATCACCATGTGCACAACGGATGGGAGGAGGAGGAGGAGGAGGTGCATGAGAATAGCTGAGTGAAGAAGAACCATGCTTATGACCACCACCTTATCATGCTTGGTGGTGGTGGAATTGTGTGGCTGGGGGCCTCTTCACAGCTCTCCCCAGTGCAGGTCAGGGGATGTCAGGTGGTGGCTCAGACCTGAGCGCTGGCCCTGCCACCTTCACTCACACCCCAACTGTGCCATTACCAGCCAGCCATTAAAAGGAGAGAAGCATGGTTGTACTGCTAGTTCTGAGCCGTGATGGAGCTGCCTCCCTGCACTGGCAGAGCAATCTAGCTCAAGTATTCCAAACCTAAAAGAAAAGAAAGGAAAAGGCTTTCCAAGTGGTTGGTGGCGTTACTTGTACAAGTACCCAAGGAGTCAAGGCCAATCATGAATCACATGTGATGCATCCAATGTATCTTCTTCTTATGGGTCAGTGGATTTTGTCTTTGGCTGTCCATTTTGACACTGCTTCATGTATGGTCCAAAACATCCCTGTGAAGCAGGACAAGTGAGAGGTGAGATGGTGCACTGTTATGAGACTCATCTCGGGTGGGCATGCCAACGTAAGAAGCTTCATCAAATCCACACACACACAAAAGAAAAAGCTTCCTCCAATCAACAAACGAAACCTATCAAGAGGAAAAGTATTGTAGTACATAGATTCTTCAAGGGGTGTTTTGATTATTTAATGGTGCATGGGTTGTGTGGCATCTTTACATCCCCACTCATTTCAGTTGCTCCCTATTATAATAAATGATCATAGTATAATGTTCCATTCCAAACAATTATAGTTATAAAGTTTGTCTTCATTTTATAGTTTTATTATTTTAGAACTCATAGAAATCATACTATAGTGGTAAGTAAATTTGGTACATCACCATCATATCAAATATATATATATTTTTTTATTTTTTATAATTAAGTTTTGATTCTCTGACTTTTCAATTGACATTAGATTAATGTGAATTTATTATACCTTTTTTTTATTTAAATTAGGTAACACTAATTATAATTAGTGGTGGCTAATTTTTATTTTTTAGATTAATGTGATATATTTAGATGAATGATGTTAATATCTAAAGGGATAAGTAAATTAAAATTTATTTTTTACAAAAAAAAATTTAAGATCATTTAAGTTATTTTAAAATTTTCTAACAAATATTTTCTTATTTGTTTTAATATTATTGAGCAATAAATAATGTAATGTGGGAATACTTCATCTTCCTCTATTGGATGTGTGAGAAATCCGAGAAACCCGGAGTGTTCTTATACCCAGTGGGTCGATCGCCTCATTGGCTCCCGTGGCCGTCGCGTAGCCCCAGAATCCCTCCACCGATTCCACCTTGTTCTCAGCCGACGACGGAACGTCGATCTCGACTCGCGTCCACCCTTCCAGTGACCCCTCTAGGTGGCCGTCCTCCTCTCGTAAGGTCGCCGCACCGTAGTCATCGGTACGTCGTCGTCACATCCCTTTCCCATCTTCGACGCGCTGCTTTTTCATTCATTTCTTGGATTTCACGTCGGTCTCGCCTTTCCAAAATCGAGTCCTGGCGTACTGGTAAATATTGGCCTTTTCCTCTCTGATTTTACCATGCTCGTGGGATTTACGTGGGTGCGTAAACCCTAGGCCGTGCTGCGTCCGTGCCTCCTCGAGCCCTCTTAACGTCAGAAAGGCGTCATCTTTGAGTGGGACGTAATTTGGATTGGTTGATTTGATGGGCGAGGGCTCTGGCATTAAATAATTACAGCTGTGGTGCAGCTGTTGCGGGCAAATGTTCGGGGGAAGGAGCAGTTCAGTGCTGAAAAGAACCCTGGCTTTTGGCATTGGTTCTGACCTGCTGTTGAATTATTCTCTCTTCTTCTTTTCTTTGTTCTCCCGATAGTTTATTTATTGTTCTTCTCAGTACTCGTCAGGCTTTAGGCAGAATCGTAGCTTTTGATGGCTAGATGTTCCCATTTATTGCCTGTTGAATCATAAATGTACGCTCTGTCTCCAAGGTCGACACTTGCAACAGGACACCGTTCAGAACAAAGCAATAAAAATTTGCCATGACCCAATTACTGTGCTGTTTCTTCTAGGTAGAAGGTGCGAGGGAGTTCAATAACTAGTTGCTTGTAGTCATGGTGATTGTTCTACTTTTAAGTGATGGAAAAGATACAGCACAGAATAGATTGCAGGGGCTTCTTTTCCTGGCTATGGCACTCCTTTAAACCAAATGTTCCTTCAACGTCTTTCTGATGGAAGGACTGTTAACTAACTTCCCTGGGTTTGCTCGGTTTTGCAGCTAGCAGACTACAAGTTGAAACTGATTGTGACAAGCAATTACTCATACTGTTTCTTAATAGATATTGGCTTGTTTCTCTTTGATAGATCGATATTAGACAGGGAAGAATTTACAGGTGCCCAGGGCACCCTTTGTTCTTAGCTTTAGTGCATGGCAAGGGAAGGAAACCAGATTGAGTATTGGAGAATGGGGACCTTAGTGTGGGATTTGTTGTATAAGACGTGCCTAAGAGAATGAAAAGGAAATGTGTGTGATCATGCATGTCCCTGCAATCAGAAATATGTGCCAAGAAAGTAATTCTTGATTTGCCACTATCATGATGACATAATGCAACCTACTACTGTTGCATGATTCTTCCAACAATGAAGGCTTTCTTTTGCAAGTTACAAGA